GTTTTGCGAGATCCCGAGTTTGTTTTGCGAGATCCCGAGTTAGGTTTGCGAGATCCCGAGTTAGGTTTGCGAGATCTTGCAAAAGTCCGTCTTAATTTTTTTTTCTCCCATGTCCCCTGCGGGGCTCCGTACGTGAGTGTCTCTTACGTGTAGGAGCGCTCTGTCACTTGTCCTCACGAGTAAAGACAACTGCAGTGTTTGTGTTTTCTAACTCAAGTGTCTCAGCTGAAGAATTGCGGTGTGATTTAAAGAAATCCCCAGTCAATACTCTATATTATAGTATTTTTATTATATTGTATATATTTTTAATTACACACCAATAAGCAATTTCACAATTTTAGCATTAATATCTCTTATACAAAAAGTTGCCTATATAAGGTGGACACTACCAGTGCTGCTGGTATGTTTGCACTGTGACCACTTGCACATACACTATGCTGCCAAAAGTATTTGCTCGTCTGCATTCACACATGAACCATTCTTAATCTATGAGGTTTAATATGATGTCCCCCAACCATAACAGCGTCAGCTCTTCTGGCAAGGCTTTCCGAAAGATTTAGGAGTGTTTATGGGAATGTTTGACCATTCATCCACAAGTCCATTTGTGACCCTGATGCTGGATAAGAAGGCTTGGCTTGCAGACTCTGCTCTAATTCGGTCCAAAGGTGTTCTGTCGGGTTGCGATCAGGACTCTGTGCAGGCCAGTCAAGTTGTCCCACACCACATTCGGTCACACATGTCTATATGAACCTTACTTTGATCACGTTGGAACAGGAAGGGGCTCAAACTGTTCCATAAAGTTGGGAAGAGGAAATTGTCTTGGTATGCTGAAGCATTAGGGGATCTGCAGTTTATTGGCAGCTTGCAACCAGGTACACTCTTTCCTCAGGAGCTGGTTAACCAGTTAGTGTGAGTGGTCAAACAAAAGAATATGTGAGTTAAATGGCACTGAGAGAGTTGGGGGAGGGGAGGTAACATGGTCTCGACACAAAAAAGGAGTTAAAAGAGGGAAAAGTGTAAAGGAGTCAGCAGCAATTAACAGTATTTGTTTAAAAGCAAGGAAGCAGCTTTTAAACACAGAGATCAACCTGGAGTCCTGCTGCCACCAACAACTGGAGCCATGATCGCGGTTATGTCATGCATCTGGGAGCTATTTCAATAGGGAGCTATTTCAGTCAGCTGTGTTAAATATGTTGTGTTAAATATAGTTAGCGCCATACATTTTTGGACAATAAAAGGGTTTTTTGTACACAACAACAGTACATTTTAAATCAAACCAGAAACGTGTAATTGGCGCACAGATTTTAAGTAAAACATTAAACTTCATTTTTAGAGGCTCTAAAGTAACTGGACAATAGACTAATAATCCATTTCATGGTTTGATGAGGCTTTTTCAGCTGTTATTTCATGACAGACTACAAAATTGATTCGAAGTGTTGAACTTCCATTTGGTAGTTCACTGGAACTTGTCCAAAGAAATGCTGATGTAAGTGAAAAAGACTGACATTGGGGAGAAAACCAAATAAACCCCATCAGAGAGATAGAAAACTTTTGGAGGGGTCAAATCAAGTAAATAATCAAGTCAATCCTAAATAAACAGGAATGCAAAACCAGCTCAACAACACTGAAAGACCTGAACTGCAGAAGACAACTAAAACATGGAGGTAGGTGTACTGTGGGGCTCATTATTGTGAGGCAAATAAATCCCAGTACAAAGAGAAATGGTCACACAAACCTGTCCTCCTTATCTTCATTCCAGAACACAGCACTATATCCTTGGAGCTGGGACAGGAAGAGCTGAGCGTTGACGTCACAGGGCAACATATACCTAAGGCAGGCGAAGCTCGGCTCCTTCATCTGCCTCACACAATGCATTGCTGCTGGTCTCTGCAGCACAAATGCAGAGACAGGCAGCTCAAAGTCATTCATAGAACAATGACTTTTATTAAAATGTGCAAAAAACGTTATGTTTTATGGTTTTTTATCCTTAAAATATGACTGACTACACATACATTGGCAGTTGTGATTGAAAATATAAATGTTGAAGATATATATGCATTTGTGGTGCTCATTATTTCATCCATCCATCGCCACTCATCCTTTTCCGGGTCATGGGGAGTAGCTGGAGCCTATCCCAGCTGTCTTAGGCCAAGAGGCAGGGTACACCCTGGACAGTCTGTTGCAGGGCTAACTCAGAGAAAACTATTCACACTCACATAATGGAGTCGGTCTATAATGTATATTTATTGGGATTGATTGTTTTATCATTTGCATTCTATGCTATCCTTAAAACAGAAACCAAAGATGGCGCCAGTGTTTGCGGCAAGCCGTCTCCTCGAGTTTTGTCTACTGTCTGCTATCCTATTTTCTCTGTGTTATCCTGACGCCTTTGCGCTTCTTACCTATGATC